AATTATTTGACAACGTTGTACGTTTTCCTTTCAAGTGTATTTATGTTTTTTTTATTTAATTTGGTGTCATCTGCATAAACTACCTAGGTTATTAAAGTACCTCGCATAAAAAACTCACGACATTTTTAAAGAAAAACCAACAAAAACTTCTCAAATTTTTTACACAGAGTGCCGTATTATAGTTCACTTTTAGCCACCTATTTGGTTGTTTTTAAATAATTATTTGGTGATTTTGTCAATTTTATACAAAATTATTCGTAGGATATTGTAAAGATTGCGATTAGTCCATCTGAAACATTTTTTTTTTTTTTTTGGTAGTGTGCTTATGTATAATATATAAGTCTAATTTTATTTTTCAATTAATGGGAATTAATAATATATTACGTTCTCTTGTACCGAAACTTAATGATATTGAACGAGAATCATCTTTTAGTTTTTGTTTTGAATTTACCCAATATGGATCAGTATATAGAAGTATATAATATTGAATCAATTAAATCCATTCAAATAGAAAATATTTCTGATTTCAATGCGTTTATTTCTTATAGGAACAGTTCCAAAATCTTCCACGCATTTATCCGTAGCATTTCCAAAAATTCTGATGAACTCTACATCTTTTTAAGAACAATAAAGGAAAAATTTGAAATAATCATTCTTACAAAAACTTTTCGTATATATGACATTTTTGGGATAGAACGATTTAATATTTTATATAATAAAGGGGAACATAATAGGAATGACGGTATAGTGATTTTTACTGAGGAAAACTTAAACTACGAATATTCTGTTATTGATATAGGAAATGTCAAAATCTTGCAGACAAAAACTTTAACAGATAGTTCAACTTGTCCAGACCATTTTTTTGTTAAAAAAATCTACTGTTACATGAACAAATAAGATAATTTATTTTTCATGATAAAATCACTGACCATTGTCCCATATTACCTGTTATTGATTTAAAATTAGAGAACGATGTATCTAATATTCTTACCAAAAATTTTATAAATTATAAAAACTTAATAGAGCATTTAAAACGGGAGTCATGGACGGAGTTATGCAACTTATCATATGAATGAAATTTCAGAAACCTTTATTAAAATTTTAAAATCTCACCTAAACAAAAATACGAAACAAATAAAAATAAAAAATACTCAAGAAAATAAACAGTGGATTACGTCAAGCCTTTTGAATTTAATTAAAGGAAAGCGTAAAATTTATAAAAAATTAAATAAAAACCCCAATAAATTACAATTAAAACGAGCCTACAACCATTACTGTTAGGTATTTAAGCGTTTTTTCCTTAATTTATATTAATTATTTTATGTTGATATTTGTTATAAGTAATTGGAAGCTAGTGACCCTTAATATTTTGAACAAATTATTTGATGCCAATATATTGGGAATCACTCTGTGCATTTGAAATTGACCTTTTTTGGATTTTAACCAGTAGTACCGTATAAACCGCTATAGTGTCCGTACATCAAAATCGAATTTTTTTTGTTCTTCAGTATTCCGCTTTACCAGAAGAAAACCTGTAGGGGCCCCTCAAGAGTTCCAGAACCCAAACATACCACTAGGTGAGTCTCCTTACAATATTGGCCTGTTCATAATTTTTCCTGTTATTAGAATTTAATAATTTAAATGCCCGCCTAATGAATTAGGGTTCCCTTGCATTCCAGAACTGAGCTATATTAAAAGGAAAAGTCACAATTACAAAAACAAAATAAGCAGATTAATTAAAAAATGCAAAAAGATAAATAGATAAATAAATCAAAATCATTATGGAATTGTGTAAATTATCTCCGTAACAAATCCAAATCTAAAAAAGAAATTAAAACAATCAATGCAGAAAATGAAATAATAGTGAAAAAATAAATTATAGTGGATGAATTTAATAAATATTTTAGTGAGATTGGGTACAAACTAGCAAATTTAATTGAAGGGTCAACAAAATACACTAAACAACATAAAACTGTTACATATTTAATAAAATCTTTGAAATTAAATAAATCGCCAGGTGTTGATAATATTACCTCAGATCTTTTAAAAAATATCCATTGACTTTCTTAATAAACAAAACATTTAAAACAGTTGTATTTCCAACAAATTTTAAATTAGGATTAATAAAGCCGATATATAAAAAAGGAGAATTTCATTAATATCTAGTGTTGCTAAAATTCTTGAAAAGCTATTAAAAACCGCTTGCGAAAATTCATGAACAAATTTAAAATCTTGTCCGATATACAATTTGGATTTCAAAAAAAGAGATCGGCGCAAGATGTCATACGAATTAACAATAAAAATATACAATTCCTTAGATAATTCTATACTATCGTTATGCATATTACTTGATCTGTCAAAAGCATTTGATATCGTATGTTACAAAAAATTATTACAAAAATTACATCAAATCGGAGTCCGTGAAAATAAATTAAATTTATTTGAAAGTTATCTTATAGATAGAAAGCAAGTGGTGAGCATGACGGCATGTTTAGCAGTTCTGAGGACGTTAGATTTGGGGTTCCTCAAGGTTGGTCCTTGATAAAATTCTTTTTACAATATATTAGTAATCTAATGATAAAACCATCAACTGGATATATTTTAAGTTTTGAAGATGATACTGTAATATTTTACCAGGCCGACTCTTGGAGGGATTTTAAATTAAAAGCAGAACATTACTTCAAGAATTTAATCAACTGGTTTATTAATAATAAATTAATATTAAACTATAAAAAAACTAAATATTTAACATTTTCTTTCTATGTAACTGGACTTCCCAATTTTGGACCATTAAAAGTGTCAAGTACAAGAGATATTCCAGAATCTACCTCAATCAAATACTTGGGTCTAGTTATCGATCGACACCTCAGATGGGATTTACATATAACATCTATAGTTCAAAAACTAAGAGGCTTACTATTTTGATTCAGGTATCTAAAGGAATATCTTGATATTAAACATAAACAATCGCAGTTATCATATGGCATGGGGCGAAATGATTGATTATTGTCTTGAACATCCAAACGTATTGCAAAAATTGATACTTAAGGTTATTTATAATAAAACTCCTTTGTATTCAAGTGATAGTCTGTACCAAGACTGTGGTGTACTTGATACTAGCAAATTGTTTTGTTTATAAATATTATTAAAAATCAAAAAAGGTAATATTAAAATTTCAAAAAATAACATGCCTATGAAACAAGAGTTTTTTTAGCACCTTAGTTATATTACTTTCTACGTGAAACAATAAAAAAAAGATTATAAATATAGTTCTTAAAATAATAAAATAAAATAATGGTTATTTAAGGTGGAAACCAATTTATTTAATAATATTTAACACTAAAAACAAAAAACAACTTACCAAATTCAATTTTAATTATAATTTATTATGACTAAACAAATTTAAATTTGCCCGATTTTGACCTTTACCCTATTTTAGACATACCCAGATTTTGACATTTAAATATACCCTATTTTGACTTTTTTCCTGATTTTTCTTTTCTCCATATTTTTCTATTCCTGATATGGACGTATAAATAGTATTAAGGTTTATATTTTTGATTGTAATTATGTATAAAAGGTATATTTGATTAAAATTCATTGTTAATTTCATAGCTCGTATAAGCGATATTTTTATTGCTTCTTTGCTATAACCTGTTTATTAATAATTGGGTTAAATATTTTGTTATATACCTTTACATTTTATTTTTTGTTTCTAACAGCAAATAAAAATTAATATTTTTATTAGCCTCGTTTTCTGTGGAGGCGTTGATGCTGTTTCCCAGCGCCACTTTAGAAACAGCACTGTTAATTAGAACCCAACAGTAAATATTCGAGTGGAAAATGCATTAGAATTAATATTTAATTTATATTAAATAAAAATCCCTGCCACCGGCAGAATTCGAACCTAAAAATCCTTTGATTTCAAGACCCTGACCACTGAGCCAACCCACCACCTACTTTATGTTTTGTCATAATTTTACTCGCATTTTCTGTCTAAGAAAATTGTAATCTTTGACAAATATTGAAAAATATTTAATATTTTTAATAAACTTGTAAAAATAATGAAATATTTTTGTACATTCTACTCAAATAGCTTTGTCTATAACTCTGTTATAAATTAAAATTTTAATACTTTAATTAATATGTTTTAAAGTTATGGTAATAAACAACAGGCCACCATGTCAATATTTGTATTATATGTTACCTATTTTAAACAATTTGCTACACAATACGTGTTTTAAGAACTGGTTCATAATGGAAAATTGATGCATGTTGCATACTGGGACCTCAAAAAATGAAAGTTATAAATGATTTGCTAATATTTTTATTAGCCAAAATAAACATGGGTTTTTGAGTGATTTTTTAAATACTGTCAGTACTTCTAAAACATACAACTCTTCTTTTATAATGGACAAAAAATATTTTTGTTATTTTTTTTCTTAAAATGGTGTGCTTAAAAAACTTAAGAGAAGCAGCAAAGCATTCAATATCGATGGCCTAGAAGCAATAACACGTAAGTACATCTTCCAAAATTTGTGGTTATGAAGAAAAACCGTTATAATATTATTGTATAAATATATTATTTATTAATCAACTGTTTCAAAAAGTTACATACAATATCATGTATGGCATTTTTACTGTCTTGGTCCTTGAATCCTTTTTTCAATTTTTTTTAAAGCACTTATATATTATTGCTTTTATTTACAGATTTTGTACTTACAAGGTATTGCTTCTAGGCAATCGATATCATAATCCGCTTTACAGTGTATTATTTAAAAACATAAGACTCTTTAAGGTAATAAAGAAAGCTTATTATGTTTTTGTACGAAGCATGGGTGTAAATCAATATTTAATGAAGCTATACGAAATGTTAGGTTTAATAAAATATTCGTCTGCTACAATTTGGATTTTTGTTAATATAACATTTTTTAAATGCTAAAAATTATATATTATGTCATTCTTTTATGTTCTGTTTATTAATAATAAATGTTTCAACTATGGGTGGGAAGGTAAATTATATAAGCCCCTGCATAGACCATAACTGTCCCATTATGAACCAATAAAAGTCCCATTATGAACATGTTGTACTGGACAATTCATACTGAGACAACCGTTAGAGAATAATTTCTTTCAACTTTATCTAAAATCCCAATCGACACATAATTAAAAATATCCAAAGCAGTGATTGAATACCCTTAAACTTTTAAGAAAATAAAACTGAAATAATAAACATTATCCCAGTAATTGCCACAGTCCCTGTCTATGTTATAGTAAGAAAAAATACAAATAATATTCTTACTTAAAAACATATTAAATAAACACAGACATTAAACTAAATATAAAGGTGAGGATCAGCTGTAGCAGATATAGAACTTGGTAAAAATCTGGTAAGAAAAATTATTGATAAAAAAAATCGAACATAACTAAGATTAAAATAACCTTTATTTCACAAAAAGTCAAATACATTAGTACATCTGATTCATAGACCATCGTAATAAGGGATATTTGGATCAAACCACTTCAGGAATAGCAAGAGCAATTGATATGAAGGCTTTAGAGCTAAACTCTTCTTAGATAGTGGTTTCAAGGACGATGTGGATCTACAAATTAGGTTACCCGCTTGTATGGAGTTAGAAAGGGGCTGTAAACATTCAAAAGATTGCTTTAAACATTATTGACCACAAGAATAAGATTTGAAAAATTTGATTGGCAGACGAGACTCAATTAAAGGTAAGATTCGCAATATGACGATTTGCCATCTTACATATTATGCGACAGAAGCTATAGAACGGTGTCAAAAATCATAAAATGGTGCTGGTTATTACCAGCTACTTTAGCACTGGTCGAGATAAACGATCATTCTCACAGAAAGAGCGTACGCGCGAATTTCGAAACGTCGGCCAGGCGCGCTCGCTTCGCTCGCTTTCCTCTGTAGTAGTTAGGTTGTTAGTGGTAGAAGCATAGCGTGATCTTATAGAGAAACTGTTTCCATGGAAACGTTTGTCATGCTAATGACTAAACAAATCCCGTAGTGAGAAAATGCTTAGTTGCCAAGTTATAGCTGGTTTCATTTTCACTTTAGTTTAGATTAGGAAATTGTGTTAAGAGTTAATCTAAATATAAGGAGCAACTACGCATTTCCTCACTACTAGATTTAGGTTTTTGTTTAGTCGACATCACGACATCTCTATAACCGAATTCAGCTAAACTAAAGTGAAAATAAATGACCTGTAAATTGCCAGCTATGCATTTTCTTACCACAGGATTTAGGTTTTTGTTTAGTCGTTACCATGACAAGTGTCTTTATGGCAAGAGTTTCTCCGTAACTGATTACAGCTAAATTAAATCATATGTAACTTGGCAATCACGCATTTCCTCACCTTGGAATTTGGCTTTTTGTTTAGTTGTTACTATGTCAAGCGGTCCCATGACAACAGTTTTACCATAACTAAAGTGAACATTAAATAATCTATAACTTGGCAACTATGCATTTCCTTACCACGAGATTTGGGTTTTTTTTCTGGTTACCATGGCAACGGTTGCCTGAAAGTTGACCCACATTTACTCTTAGAGTTTAACTGTTCCTTGCAAAATTCTTCCTGTAGCTCGTTCCACAGATTCTTTAATTTTGAAGTGTGAGATGCAATATCATCGTCGGCTTCTCTTAAGTCTTGACCACTATGCTTCCATCATATAATCAGTAGTAATACTATAAGTACTTTAAAATAATCAGGTTATACATCGATAACTTGTTTCATAATTATAAAGAGTGTCAGTTTGACAGTTTAAATAATTCGACCACGAAACAGGAGGATTATTCTGTCAAACTGACACGATTTGTAATTATGCAGGAAGTTTGAGATGTATAACCGTATTTATTTTGAAGTACGTATTGTATTTGATACGATTATTTTTTGAGTAAATTAAGTAAATATCAACAATTTATTAATTCGACTCATTTTAAAATAATTATTGATAAACGTCAAAATTTGACGGTCCTGTTAGTTAGTGTATTGTTGTCGATGTGGTTACTACGGAAATGAAATTATTGTAAATATTTTTGATTGGTGGAGCTACTCTATGTATAATCAGGTATTATCGAAATTATACGAGGTAACTTAACTAAATTGAACGTTCTAATTGGTTAAAAGTTATACGAAAAAAATAATCTATGAAGTTCACACCATATATCATGTGCAGTTTTTTAATCTCATAATTTTCTATAAAGTATCTTGAGTCATATTATTTGTGAGAATCAATAACACACTGCTATTGATTTTAGTGTACTTTTTTAGTTCCTTCTCGTATTTTGCCTTTTCTCTTTGTGAAGCACCTAAAATTTCCATGGCACCAGCTACCCTTCTTAACAGAATACAGATTTTATGTTTTTATGTACTCCAATTTGACTGTCCTTCAAGAAGCCCTATCTGAACTCTTCTTACATCTATATTAGCTTAAAGGTGTACAGGAAAACTGCTCACAAACTACTGTACAACAGGGCAACCTCGCTCTGCTACGTTAATGTGGATTAATACCCTCAGTAATGTACAGTTAAAGAAAAAAGATTATGAGAAAATATTATTTATTGAAAGACATACAAAAACTATTTGTCAGTCAAACTTCACTCTATATAATCCAAGTATGCTAAATATACTGAGCAATTGAAATTACTGTAATGTAGATATATAGTTAGCATACTTTAACACTTTACCACAGCTTATTCATATCCAGCTAGAACACTCTCTTGGCGGGAACGGTTTGCGTCGATCCCTTCGCGCAGGTTTTATGCTCCGCCTTTTCGGGGAAAAGATGTCTTTGGCGTGCAGTCGGGAGATCGGTATTACTTATTCTACGTTAAGCGGACATAGCCGTGCGTATATTTTTGTGTTTAATTTGTAATTCTTTTGAACATTTGTGTTTTATGTTTATTTTTTACTGTAGTAAAATGAGTGACAAAAAACTATCAGGACATCATCATGTTTGTGCAGTCCGAAATGGTTTTAATAAAGGTTATAATTGTAAGAAGAAATTCTATTGTTTTCCTAAGGATGCTAACCGGTAAGTACTTACCTACACGATATTTTTTGCATATTTTGATGAAAAGTAAACTTTCGATTATTTGCTATGTTGTAGTAAAAGTAATTTAAAGTCATACAAAATCTTCTTTAATTATGAGAAGCTATGTTTGGCCTGTATAAATATATAGTTATTAATTTAATACTTGTTAAGGTAAAAGAGGGTTTATTGGTGGTTTTGTTTAATATTTTTGCAAATCGAAATAATAAAATATGTATATCAACAAATATTAATTGGAAGAAAATAAATACAGTATGCGCCAGATCTAAAGAACCAAGGATGCGCATTTATAATGCTACTAACACGCCTACGGATGAATAGAATTGGTAGCTTACCTAGAAAGTTGTAAACCAGAGGTCCGTATATTTTAAGACATAAAATAAATGGAAAATAGTAAATGATACTTGTTCATACATATTGCTTAGTGTTATTATTAGTACATAATTCTATAGTCAATTATTTTACTATCTTCGAGAAAATGCTGGGTTTGAGTATATACTTACACGAAGATTAAACCAAGACTGCCTGGAGAATCATTTCGGTAAAATAAGAAGTGAAAACGGTAACTGCATTAACCCCAAAGCCATACAGTTCCATAGAACATTTAGAAAGTTGCAATGCGTCAACTTGCTTAACTCAGGTACAGAAAACTGTGAGGCAGATTCTGATCAGATGCTCTTAAGACTTTCTGACTACCAACAGGATTTTGTACCTGAGGATAAGGATAAAGTATCGGAACAAAGAGACGCACTAAATAGCATTGACTATTCAAATAATGAAATGCTGCAAAAAAATTTCATACGGTACGTGTGTGGGTACCTTTTAAATAAAGCTTTAAGAGTTCACACTTGTGATATATGCAATAAATATAGTAAAGACCATGATGAACTAGATGATTCATCTTATTACTGTTTCCTTAAGGCATATGAAAATGCAAATAAGGACACCTTCGGAAATTTGCAAATGCCTAATAATAAATTTGTGGAATTAATTTGTAAAATAGAACAAATATTTCAAGAAAACTTTGAAAAATTTGCTACTAAAAGGAATATTTGCCAAATGCTTTTAGATATAAGTAACCATTTAGCTTTTAACCATCCCTGTAAATATTTCCCCAAAGAATTTGTAGTTAGATTATATTTAAGAGTTAGAATATATTACACATTGAAAACGATAAATGGTAATTTTAGAAATGTAAATAGAAATAAACTTATAATATGGAGAAATTTGTAATGATATAGTACTAAATGTATTATAATTTGTTATTATATATATAATATACGTTATATATACGTAGGTATAACGGTATAAGTAAATTTTTAATTTGATTTTTTTTAATTATTTAGTAATAAAACCTATTTAAAACCTAAGCTACACAACTTTATTTTATTACCATTTTTGTCTTTTCCCTAAACATCACCGTGCGACTGTCAAAAGCAATAATGTCTAAGGTTCTTTTTCAGTTAGGCCAAATAAGATTTTTGCATCCGAATTTAATTATTTGACATACTCACAATTTGAAAATTTTAAGCCGTAAATGCCAAATTGCAAGTTTGTCGAATATTAAAATTCGGATGCAAAAAGCCGAATTTCGAAAAGCTGAGAAAGGACGTTAACAATGACATAGCGTTCAGGAGGAAAACCTAAAAATAAATCATAATCTTGAACAACCAACATCAACGACTATTATAAATCACTATTTTTTTCGTAAGATAACAAACACCCCATTATCGTAATTATTCTGACAATTTTATAAATCGCCCTTTTTCTGTCCACACAAGTTCTTTTAATCTATAATAACGAAAATGTATTATTTTTCAGAATAATTTTAATGTATTTTTCAACAACCCTTATTAACTCCAAACCTAATTTTATCGTAATATTACAATATAGATTCAAAAAATATAATCCAATAAAATTTAAAATTACCTAC